GGATCCCCTAGACACTCTAGGTGTCTCTGAGATGGGAGGGGGTCTGAGGGCTGGATCCTCTAAGATAGAGGGGATCTGGGGGCTGGGTCCCCCTGGAAGAGGGGGATTTGGGTGCCTCTGGGATGGGGGTGGATCTGGGGAGCTGGGATCCTTGGGATGTAAGGGATCTGGGGGATGGGACCCATAGGCTTGGGGAGGGGGGACCTGGATCTTCTGGGCCAAGAGGGATCTGGGGGCTGGGACCCCTGCAATAGGGAAGGATCTGGAGGGCTAGATCCTCTGGAATAGGGGATCTGGAGGGATGGGTCCCCCTGGGCTGGGGTGAATCTGGGGGCTGCATCTCTTGGGATGGGAGGGATTTTGGGGCAAGGTGCCCCATGTCTGGGAAGGCTGGATCCCCTGGTCTGGGAGGGGATCTGGGACACAGGATCCCCTGGGCTAGAAGGGGATCAACAGGGGATTTGTGTGCTCGTGGGTTGGGGGGGTGGCAGGAGAGGGGATTCCAGAGTGGGAGGATGCTGGGATCCCTGCCCACCAGCTCTGGCATCCCCACCCCATGTGTGCAGCACACAGGCTGCAGGAGTCGGCCACCGCCCTGGCCTGGAGAAAGCCTGGGTGGGGGAGGGTGGGGGGAGGGTCGACACCTGTGTGCTTGTGGGGTCAGGGATGTAGGGACCAAGGGGATTGGGGACCTTGATCATGCCTCAGGGTCCCAATCCTTTGGCTGCCCCTCCCCTTTATCCCCCCACCAACCCGAGGTGTGTTCAGGGCTGGGGATGCCTCATGGGGTTTGTATACCCAGGGCTGCACATGTGTTCATCTCTGTGCATCCTAGACGCATGTGTGCATGGGTGGGAGCACTGCATTAGTGACACACGTGTCCCCTTGTGGGCGTGTCTTTGTGCCTGCTAGTGGAGGGCAGTATTGGGTGAGACACATGCCTAGGGGGTATGTTGTGACGGGACACACATGGATGGGGGGTGACCTCGGCCCCTCCACATGCCCATGCACATATGTCTGTGCGTGTGCATACGTGTGCAGGGACCTACCTGCCCACGGGAGGCTTGCAAGGATGCTGTGGCGTGTCTTCCTGCTAGCGTAAGTCCCTGAGGGAGCGGTGGCTGATGGAGGGGTCATGCCTACCCCCAGAGGACGACGACAGTTCTCCACTGTGCCAGGTCCAGTCACGGATCCAGAAGCTGGAGAACGATCTGTCCAGGTGACAAGCAGGTGGTGTTACCACAGGGAGTCCAGGGCAGTGTGGCCACCTCTGGGTTGGAGCACAGTGGCATTCATCCCACCAGCTCTGGGATGGAACTGTGCAGGGGGCATCACAGCCCTGCCCAGCAAGGCTGCATGGGTAGCGCACACTCAGGGTTGAGATGTAGGCAGTTCTGGGGTGGAACGTGGCTTCCATTTGCTCTCAGCATCCAGATGCAGCCATTTCTGGGGTGGGACAAGGGGGCTATCACAGCCCCAGGCAGCAATGCTGCACAGATAGTGCACACTTGGGGATGAGATGCAACCAGTTCTGGGATGTGACATGGCCTCTGCTGGCTCTCAGCACTGAGATGCAGCCACTTCTGGGGTGGAACACAATTGCTGCTGGCTCGTGATGAGGTGCAGCCAGCTCTGGGGTGAAACATAGTTACTTCTAGCTCTCAGCCCCGAGATGCAGCCAGCTTTGGGAAGAGTCTAGATCTCAGCCAGGCTGCTGGAAGAGGGGGGAGTTTTGCAACCGTGCTTCCAGGAGCGCTCTGTGGGCTCTGAAACCACAACAGGAAGAGGAGAGGTGGCCACCGGCCATGGGTTGATGGCAGTGGCGGGGAGGGGGGTGTAGAGGCTGAGTCAGCACCAGCTGGCAGGAGCTAACAGCCAGCCGCCTGCCAGCAGCTCCAGGAATCCTTTCACCTTGGTGGGGGGCTGCATGGGGAGGCATCCCAGGAGCCCTTGTGATACTGTCTGGACTTTACCCCCCCCACCCTCCCCCCCAGCGCTTCTTGGGAGGAGGCAGCAAAGCCAAGGCTACATGGAGGTGGGAATGGATGGAACCCAGGCGGCTGGGCTCCCAGCCCCCTCAACCCAACCAACTCTCACCTCTGGCTCCTGCTGCCTTTTGGACCTGGGAGGTGCAGAACCTGGGCACCTGGGCCATCCAGCCTCTTTTGTTGTAACCAGGGACTGCATGTGTGTGCAGGGGACAGCCATGAAGACAGCATGTGTATGTCTACACATGTGCAAGACAGGCAGCTGTGGGTGCCGGCTGGTCGATGGGGGGAAAACAACTGGCCCCACTGTGTGTCTTTGCCCCCATACTGCTTGTAGGCCAGAGGGATTCCCTACTCTACTGGCAGCACCTACAGGTGCCAGGCACCCAGCACTGGGACTGAGGAAGGGAAACTGGTTTGAATGGGGCACAGTGGTGGGGGGATAGAACCCAGGGAAGCAGAACCCCTCCTCCACCAGTCTGACCTCTCCTTTCTCTGCAGCCTCCAGGTCCAGATGCAGCAGCTGGATGACCCCAACCCTGCCACAGAGGAGGGTAGGGGGGTTGCCAGGGACCCCTGTCAGGTAACAAGATGTCTCTGTGTGGTGGGGAGGCAGGGGAGGGGGCTCTGTCTCCCAGTGGAGCACCCCCAGGAGCCAGGCAGTCCCTGTACTTTATCCATGGGGCTCTTAGGTCTTCCCCAGGTGCCTGGCTTTCTTCAGAGTTTCCAGGGCTGTGGGGTGGCTTTATGGGGGGGCCCTGCTGGGGCTGGGGGGGAGCCATGAACCCCAGCCCCCACCCATACTCCTCTGCTTCCCTTCTAGGCTGGCGGGGCTGCATCACCCCCTGCAGGTGAGTTGCCCCTTGTGGGGGCAAGAGCAGGAGAGACAGGGAGCCTGGACACCTGGGTTCTCTGGGAGGGGAGTGGGGACTGGGGGTGGTTAGAGCAGACAGGGCTGGGAGCCCAGATGCCTGGGTTCCCTGGGAAGGGAGTAGAGCTGGGGGATGAAAGCAGGGTGGGGCCAGGAACCCGGATGCCTGGGTTCTCTCCCAGCACTGAGGGGTGGACAGGGCCTGGGGGTCTGCTTGTGGCAGGGGTAATGTAGTGCCAACCCTGAGATTCAAACCTGCCGCCAGCTGGAGCGGTTTGGGAGGGTGTGGGGAGCATCTAGCTGGGGTCCCTCATTCTGCCTCCTCCCCAGGTGGGGCAGGACATGGCAGTGATTCTGAACCAGCCCCAACCCTGATCCCGGCCAGGAGGGACCTGCAGGAAGCCCTGGAGAACGGGGATGTGGTCAGAGCAGGTGGGTGCGGGGCCTGGACTCCTGGGTTCTCTCCAGCTTTGGGAGAGGAGTGGGGCTGAAGAATGAGAGCAAGGGGGGCTGGGAACCCAGACACCTGGGTTCTCTCCTGAGCTCTAGGAGGGGAGGTGGTCTGGGGTGTTAGACCAGGGAGTGGAGGGAGCCTGGACATGTGGGTTCTCTTCCCCAGCCTGAGGCTGGATGTTGAACCTGGTGGCTGAAAGCAGGAACAGGATGCCTGGGTCCTCTAACTGATGCTAACCCCTGTGCCTCAGTTTCCCTAGCAGGGAAACGGGGAGCAATAGCCTCCAAAGCAATGGCGGAGGGGCATGAGGCCCTGCATCCTGTCCTGCCGCCATCTAGGTCCAATCCAGGCCCCACTCTAGGCATCTCACCCCCACCCCTTTGCCTTCCAGATCCCCCTGACGGCATCAGCAGGCACAATCTCCAGGCTGCCACAGGCAGCCATGGAACCCCGGCATCCGGGGATGGCTCTACCCCCCGGCCAGCTGAGATGATCATCCGCAACCATTTGGGACAGGAAGTGGGCAGCATGGATGCCATCCGCCGCGCCGCCCCCGGCATGGAGGGGGAGTGGCTGGAGAATGGGCCAGGGACTGAGACACCAGGCCAAATCTTTTCTGCTCCCACAGGGGAGAGATCCCTGGAACAGATCCCACTGGCTGGGGTGGGGGAACTGCCTTTGCCCAACCAGATCCCACTGGCTGGGCTGGACCATATCCCGTCAGCTCTGCTGGATCAGATTCCATTGGTTGGGCCTGACCAGATCCCATCAGCTCTGCTGGATCCGATCCCATCTGTTGGGCCCGACCAGATCCCATCAGCTCTGCTGGATCAGGTCCTATCAGCTGGGCCAGATCAGATCCTGTCTGCTGGGCCAGAAGATTGGCTTTCTCTTCCTGAGCAGATCCTGCCAGGTGGGCTAGACCAGATCCCATCAACAGTGCAGGACCAGATCCTATCTGCTGGGCCGGGGGATCATTTTCTCCTGCCTGACCAAATCCCGCCAGCTGGACTGGAGCAGATCCTGTCAGCCATGCAGAAAGATCTGCCTCTGCCCAATCCGATCCCATCTATGCAGGACCAGATTCCATCTGCTGGGCTGGATCAGATCCCATCCACCATTCAAAAAGATCTGCCTCTGGCTGACCAGATCCCACCAACTATGCAGGACCAAATCCCATCTGCTGGGCTTTATCAGGTCCCATCATCCATACAAAAAGATCTGCCCCTGCCTGACCAGATCCCATCAACTATGCAAGACCAGATCCCATCAGCTGGGCCAGGGGATCATTTTTCTCCTCTCAACCAGATCACATCTGAGCTGAACCAGATCTTAGCTATTCAAAAAGATCGGCCTTTGCTCAACCAGATTCCAACAGCCATACAGGACCAGATCCCTTCAGCTGGGCCAGAGGATCAGTTTTATCTCTCGGATCAGATCCTGTCAGCTGGTCCTGGGCTGGATCAGGTTCCATCAACTATGCAGAACCAGGTCCCACCCACTGGGCCAGAGAATCACTTTTCTCTGCCTGACCAGATCCTGCCAGCTGGGCTGGACATGATCCCATCAGCCATGCAAAAAGATCAGCCTCTGCTTGACCAGATCCCAACAACTGTACAGGACCAGGTTCCATCAGCTGGGCCAGACCAAATCCCAGCCACTATGCAGGACCCGCTCCCATCAGCTGTGCAAAAAAATCAGCCTCTGCCTGACCAGATCCCAATGCCTATACAGACCCAGATCCCATCACCTGGTCCTGACCAGACCCCACCAACTATGCAGGACCAGATCCTATCAGCTGGGTCAGGGGATCAGCCTTCTATGCCTGACCAGATGCCACCAGCTGCACCCAATCAGATCCCACCAGTTCTGCAAGAAGTGAAGTCCTCTGTCCTAGACCAGATCCTGCCAGCAGTGGAGGAAGCAAAGTCCCCAGCACAGGACCATATCCCATCTACTCTGCAGGAAGCCACACCTGCTCTATGGGACCAGATCCCTCCAGCTGCATTCAAGCAGATCACCCCAGCTGCTCCTGAAGTTCAGCCCTCTCCGCCCAACAAGATCCCATCCACTCCACATGCAAATCAACCTTTCCTAGACCAGATCCCACCAGCTGGGCTCAGATCTCAGCTTTCTCCATCTGACCAGATCCCAGCCACTCTGCAGGGGAATCCACTGCCTCCAAACCAGATCCTGCCAGCTGGGCCTGACAAGATCCCAGCAGCCGTGGAGGAAATGAAAGTCTCTGCCCGGGACCAGATTCCATCGGCTTTGCCTTGCCAGATGCCACTGGGTGCTGGCTCTGCTCCACCTCCCCAGGTTCGGCCCACCCTTCTAGGCCAAGCCATGGAGGAGGTGCCAGGGAACCCAAGTGTCCTGGCCTCCGAACAGCAACCGCTGCTGACAGAGGCTCTGGTTCCCTGTGGCCCCCCGGAGACACCACCGGCCACTGCCCCCTCCCCACAGCCCTGTGGTCCCCCCAGTGCCAGCTCCCACAAGCAGAAGTCCTGCCAGTGCTGTGTCATCATGTGAGCCCAGGTGTGGAAATCAAGGACACGGCCGCCAGCTGCAGCATCAGGGCATGTGCCCTAGTGTAGACGAGGTCTCTGGAACATCAGCCTGCCCTCTCCTGAGTCCTGGCGAGAGGGAAAGGGAAGGGGGGGGGGGGGGGGGGGGGGATGAGGGGCCCGCCCACACATGCACACGTGTGCTGTGCCATGGATTGGGCCTGCTGCTCATGCAGACCACTGGGGGCACAGGCCCCTGCCACTAGCACATGTATGTGCAGAGAGGGCATGCGTGCACATGCAGAGAGACTGTGTGTCTGGCACGCAAGCACGTGTGCATGCAAAGAAGTCATGTGCGCACTCATAGGCCTGCATGTGCTTCCATAAGCACGCCTGACATGCAAGTGCACGTGTGCATGCAGCAGTCACACGTGCTTCTGTGAACATGCCTGACAGGTACACGTGTGCATGCAGATGTCACATGTGTGCATGCAGAAGCCCATGTGCACTTCCATGAACTCACCTGACACGCAATCCCATGGGTGCATGCAGAGGTCATGTGTGCTTCTGTGAACATGGCTGACAGTTACACACGTGTGCATGCAGAGGTTGTGTGCGTGCGTGGGTGCAAGCACACATGCTTCTACATCCACCCAGAACAGCAGCTCCGTGTGTCAGAAGCTTCCCCTGTCCCAGCACACACTCCATTGCACACATTGCAATGCTCACACGTGTACACACAGGCCTCTCAGCTGGGCAAGGGGCCCCTGGCGCCGGGCCCCACACCCCCTCCTCCCGATGCAAGGCGGGCCCCATGATCCTTGTGGACTCTTTTTTAACCTCTGCCCCACTCTGGCCAGGCCAGCAGGGGGTGGCAGCGAGCACAGCCATTAAAGCCCTTGCAACCAGAGGACTGGGCTCTGATTCTGTTGGTCGTGAGGGAGCTGCCGGACACCTGGGTTCTGTCCTGAAAAGAGTTCAGATCCTGTCTGCTGGGCCAGAAGATTGGCTTTCTCTTCCTGAACAGATCCTGCCAGGTGGGCTGGGGGGGTGAGAGCAGAGGGAGCTGGAAGCCTGGATGCCTGGGGGTTTTAGCCCTGCCCTAGGAGGGGCACAGGGCAAGGGCATCGGGTAGAGCAGCTAGGACACCTGGGTTCTGTCCCCCACTCTGGAGGGCAGTGTAGGATAGGGGGGTAGGTATGGGCCTCAGCCTTGTCTCCCTCTACACGAGACACCCCCCACTCCCAGAACAAACTGCCCCTCTTGATTTTATTTTTTAATAAATAAATAAATATATATCTGATCCTCTTGATACCAGGAACCAGGCCTGTTGGGTCCTATGACACAGCCCTGGGGATTGCCCCAGGGTCAGAGGGGCTAGGGGCCAGGCCCCAGTGAGTGAGGGTGAGGGGTGTGGAATACAGGACTCCTGGGTTCTCTCCCAGCTCTGGGTGGAGACTGGGGGCAAGGAGGTGAGATCTGGGGGGCAGCACTGGGAGTCCAAGACACCTGGGTTCTCTCTCTGAGAAGGAGAGGGGGAAATGGTGGGAGGAGGTCAAGTGTCTCGGTTAAGAGCAGGAGATTCTGGGAGGACAGGACTTCTGGGTTCCAACCCAGCATGGGGAGGGTTGTTTGGGTCTAGTGATTGGGGAGCAGGGCTGGAAGCCTGGACCCCCCCCCCCCCACACACACACTATAGAAGGGAGTGACAGCATGGGGGGGAGGACCCCTATCTCTCCACAACCAGGTGCCAAAGACACAGGAGCTGGCAGCTACACAGGATGGGTGTATTTACAAGGTCATCATTAAGGTCATCATTAATGGGGGGTGCTGGCAACCCTGGCCCTGCCCCTTCACTGGAGGCCCCACCCCCTCCCCCATATGGCAGAGGGTGGAACTTAGAGGGCTTTAACAGCCCAACCCCTGCAAGCCCAGATGGCTTCAGGGACAGCAGGATGCCCAGACTCCTGGGTCCTCTCCCCAGCTCTGGGAGGGCAGTGTAGTCAAGCGGGTGGAACAGCTGGGGTCTGGAGCAGCCGTGGTGCCTCCTGGAGAGGTGAACAAGCCCCCCCTCCTAGTGCCAGCCAGCACCCCATGCTGACACTGCCAGGGGATAGGAGCTGTGCCCATGTCCTAGTGCTCCTCACAGGCTCATACCAGTCCCATCACCTCCTCGGGCGTGGGCATGAAGTGCTTCTCGTAGCCAGACAGGATGGGCGGCGGGTCCCCAGGGCTGGAGCTGGGTCCAGGGCTCGGGGGGGTCTTGATGTTGGTTGAGGTGGGTGCTTCAATGGCGATGTGGGTGATGGGTGGCTCCTTGGGGGCCAGGCTGAACACCAAGCTGCCAGTGTCCTAGAGGGCACAGGGAAAGAACCCAGGAGTCCAGAGCCCAGCTCTTCCCCAACCAGACCCCTTCCTCTCCACTCCTGGAGCAGGGAGAGAACCCAGGTGTCTGGACTGCCCAGCTCCTTGGAGCCACTAGGCCCTGCTCCTTCCTGAGAACCCAGGTGTCTGTGTCCTGGCTCCCTGGAGTCACTAAACCACGCTCCCTCTTGATGAAGCCCAGGCATCCGGGCTCCCTTCAGTCATTAGCCACCCCCACCTCCGTGCCCCACGCCTTACCTTTGGCACCTCCTGTAGTAGTACAAGGCTGTGGACAGGGTCTGGGATCTTCTCCCAGCACCAGCGTGGAAGCACCTTGCGGCACAGGGTCAGCACCCTGGGGGGCAATGAATATGCATCTGCTCATTTACATACACTGGATTCCTTTCCACTCATCCCTGCCCTGGACACCTGGGTTTTCTCCCCAGCTCTGGGAAGGGAGTGGGGGCTGAGGGGTTGAACTGGGGGGGCTGGGAGCCCAGATGCTTGGGTTCTTCCTGCACCAGAGCAGAGCAGCTGGCTCACAGCCCCCACTCAGGGGAAAGACAGAGAGTCCCCCCCAGGAGGGCGCACACAGGACCAGGGGGGCAATTAGGAGGGCAGCTGGGCCCCTCTTCTGGGGCTCTTACTGTGCTCTGAAGATGATCCCTGCGATGCAGGCCAGGAGGAGGAAGAGGCCGAGGCCAAGAAGGGCCCCCAGGATGGTCTGCCAATGGGAACCTGGGGATGATTCGGTGGAGGGGGGTGGGAAATCACGGCCTGCTCCTGCCCCCATCCTGTAGCAGCAAGTACAGCACCCCCTGCAGGGTACCAGCCCCCAGGAGTCCCCTCTAGACCCAGGTGGGATGTCTGGGGGACAGGGGACCAAGCTGGGTCTTACTGGGTGTGTGGAAGACGTAGACAGCGCTGGTGGGACCCTCCCCGACATTTGTGGAGCCGCTCATCCGGAGGTAGTAGGCGGTGCCCGGCTGTAGCCCTGATAGCCAGTACCTCCGCTTGCTGGCGTTCACTGGGGGGGGGGGCGCGGGGGGCACAACATCATGGAGGTTCCCTGCTGCCTGTAGCTCCCCAGTCCTGTGCTCTGGTCCCTGTATCCCAGCCACAGTCCCCCAAATCCCAGCTCCAGCCCCTGGATCCCAGATCACAGCCTATTACCCACACCCCCACCTCCTGGATCCCTGCCCCATGCTCTTAAACTGAATTGAAGCCTTTGGATCCCAGATCCCAGCTCTCAGACCTCAGATCCCAGCTCCATCCTCCCAGACTGAAGCCCCTGGATCCCAGATCCTGCATCCCAGCCCTATCCTCCCAAACTGAAGCCCCTGCATCCAGCTCCTTGCTCCTGGATCCTAGCCCCAGGCCTCCTGCCCCCAGATTCCAGCCCCTGGTCACCAGCCCTAAATCCCTGGAGCTCAGTCCCCTGCCCCAGCCCCTGAGACCCCCTCCCCCAGCCCCACGGAGCATAAAAGCCTGCTACTGCTGTCAGCTGGGGAGAGTGTCTGACCTGTGCCCAGAGTGACCAGCCCCCCCACCCCCATTCCTCCCATCCCGCGGGGGGGGGGGTCTCTTACCGCTCTGGTTGGTGTTGAGGCTGCCAGTGGCGGACTCCAGGTACAGGGTGTAGTTCACAAGCTTCCCATGGCAGTAGCGCAGGGGGATTTCATGCCAGGAGATGACAGAGGCCGTTGGGGACACACTCTGGGCATGCAGGCCCTCTGGCCCGGCTGACGGTACTGGGGTGGGGGCAGGGCAGGCATGAGTGGGGCAGCTACCCCCCCACCCTCTGGTGCTGCTCCACCTTGGCCCTGACACCAGAGGGCACCTGGATCCTGTTCCCCCCCAGCCCTGTCACTGGGGGGGCACCCGGATCCTGCCCCCATTCCTGCCAGCAGGGGACACCCCAAACCCTGCCCCCCTACCCCCATCATGGGACCCTGCCCCTTTCCTACTCTGCCACCCAGGAGCAGCCCAGATCCTGCCCACTACCCCACTTCTTCCACTTACCTCCTTCCTGGACATAGACACGGATGGAAGGGGCTGCCCCGAAGCCATGCGGGTAGAGCGCATACATGCGCACCTGGTATGGCACCTCAGGCTGGAACTTACCTGGGAGGGGTGGGAGGCATAGATCAGAGACCAGGTGGTCAGGTTGTGGGGGGGGGCAGGCAGGGCAGGGGTTTCTAGCCCTGGCACAGCCAGGGGGAGGCAGGTTGGGGGCAGAGAGATGGGAAGGGGTCTGCGGGGTCCAGAAGGGTGCACCTCCCAGGTGCACCGGGCCTCAATGCTAGCTCTGAGCAGGAACAGAGTCCTGCTATCTGGGCTTCCAGTGCCTCTGCCCCTCTGTCCTACTGGACCCTGCTCTTGTCCTCAAGGTGGTAATAGAACCCAGGAGTCCTGGCATCTGGACTCTCTGCTATAACCCCTCCACCTCTCAGAATGGGGAGAGAACCGAGGCATCTGAGCTCCAAGTCCCCCCCGATACATCCCCCTAGCCCCAACTCCACTCCCAGAGCTGGAGAGAACCAAGCATCTGGGCTCCCAGCCCCCCAGTTGCCTCCCAGAGCTTGAGAGAGAAGCCAGGCATCCAGGCCCACCTGGAAGCAGGATGTGATTGTGCTCCAGCGGGCAGCGTGTCCAGTTAGGGAGGGTCCTGGGGTCTCCCATCTCCTCAGCCCACTCCACCAGCAGCTCCCGCGGCTCCATGCCTGGTGCTACCCAGCTCACAGCCAGGCCCCCCCCAGACACTGCCTCTGCCTGCACCTTCTGGGGGGGCGGCAGGTCTGGGGGTGCATAGGGGATGTTGGTGCTCACTCAGTGCCCATTGGTGTGTGCTCCCCATGCCCAGGCCAGGAATGGGGGGTGCAAGTGGGGGCTCCAGGGCCCTGATCCAGGCCTGATCCTGGGCCCAGTGCTGGGAATGCGGCAGGGGTCTCTACCTTCTATAGGATCCTGATCTAGGCCTGATCCTGGACCAGGCTTGAACTGGTCCCCCACAGGGGGGTCCCAATCTGGACCTGATCCAGTGGCAGGAAGTGGCTCAGGGGCAAGGTCCAGGCTTCCACCCTCCAGGGCCCTGATCTGGGCTTGATCCTGTGACCACTGGCTGAGGCAGGTCTGGAACAGGGTCTTCCTCTCTCCCTGGGGAGGTACTGAATAGGGCCCAGTCTGGGGGCTGCAGGGACTCACCGGTTCGCTCCAGACTGAGGATGGCTGGCTTAGTGCGCCCACAGTGGGTGCTGGCCGAGATGGAGGCATTGGGGGCAGTGCAGGGCAGTCGTGCATGGCAGCAGGGGACAGCCTGATCTGGGGCTGGTGGGATGGCTACATTGTAGCTGGTCACCACCCCCCGTGCCAACTTGGGGTCCAGCTCCTGGGAGGTGGTGGGAGAAGGGTTAAACCTCAGGGACCCCACCCCCCCAGCTCCCCTCTGCCCCCCTCACCTCCCAGGGCACTGTGGGGAAAATTGGGCCTCAAATGCGACCACTTCTGGGGTGGAATGTGGCAGGTGAACAGCTGCTTTAAGATGCTGCCCCTGCCCCCTGCAAAGGAGACTGACAAAGCCTGCCCTCAGGGGCTGGTTGGAGGCTGGAAGAGGTGTGGGAGGGTGACCCTTAATCCTTTGCTTCTCAGGTTGCAGGGGTGGGGGGGGCAGTCCTCACCTTCCACAGTAGCAGGCAGGGTCTCCCCGGCTCTGTGTCATTCAGCCCCCGCCACACGTCCACAAGGCCCTCAGGGGCTGCAGGTAGCAAGGGGCTCAGGGCAGGCAGGGGGAGAACCCAGGTATCTGGGCTCCCAGCCCTGCCCCCTTCTAATCCCCGGGCCCCACTCCAGTCCCAAAGCTGGAGAGAACCCAGGTGTCTCTAACCCCTGCCAGCCCCCACTACCCTCATAGACTAGGGAGAGAACCCAGTTGAACCCATCCTGGGATCCCAGTCCCCCTTCCCCAAACTCCCCAGACCCCTCTCTTCTTCCAGGGAACCCAGGTGTCCGGGCTCCCAGCAGCTTCTGCTCCCCCTGCCCCAGCCCTCTTCTCCTCCCATAGCTGTAGAGAACCCAGGTGTCCAGGCTCCCCTTGCTCTCACCCCTCCCAGCCCCCACTGCTTTCCTGGAATGGGGGCAGAACCCAGGTGTCTGGGCTCCCAGCCCTCCTTCGCCAGCTTCCTGCCCTCCTGAAACTGGAGAGAACCCAGGTGTCTGGGATGGGCCCTACCAGCCTCAGGGGTAGTGAAGTGCAGCGGGGCCCCCCAGTCACTCCAGGGGGGGCCGCACCGCGCTTGCGCCTCATAGGCTGTGAATGGCTCCAGGCCCAGGAACTCATGGCCGCTGGGTTCCAGGTCATCCTCGGGTACCTGCCAGGGGACACAGGGGCATGAGGGGACAGGGCCAGACACCTGGGTTCTCCCCCAGCTCGGGGAGCGGGTAGGGGGTTGGGTGGTGAGAATAGGAGGGGATGGGAACCCAGACGCCTGGGTTCTCTCTCCAGTTTGGGCCTGGGAGCCCACTTCTGGGTGGGGAGTGGGATCTGTGGGATTAGAAAAGGCGGGGCTGGGAGCCTGGACACCTGGGTTTTCTCCCCAGCTCCGTGCAGGGAGCCCAGATGCCTGGGTTCTCTCCAGCTATGGGAGGGCGAGAGTCTGAGCAGGGGAGGCTGAGAGTTTAGATGTCTGGCCCTCAGCCCTGCCTGTGGTAACCCTACATGCGTGTACATGCACACGCACACACCAGCTGCACAGACTCACCGAGGTCCAGTTGGAGGCGCCACAGGGCCGGTAGCGCAGCTCACAGGCTGGCGGGGGTGTGGCAGGCAGAGACCCTTCAGTCTCCCAGGTCACGGCCACCCCCGAGGACATGTTCACCAGGCTCAGCTGGGGTGGGGGGGGCTTCACTGTGGGGGAAGGGATGGAGGGAGGGAGAATTGGGACCCAGGCTCCCAACCCCATCCTGCAGCAGGATGGAACCCAGGTGTCCTTTGCTCTGACCTGTAGGCCCTGCCAACCCTCTCAATGCTGGAGCAAGAACCCAGATGTCCTGGCCCCCAGCCCTGGCCTGTAGGAAGCTCCTGCCCCCCACCCACTGGCATTGCCCCATCCCAGGGCAGGTACCAATGGCATCCAGATCCAGGCGCAGTGTCCATGTCACGTTAGTCCCATCACCAGCTTCCACCCATACATCGTAGACCTCATTCTGCGTCAGGTGGCTCCTCTCCACCAACACCCAGCGCTGCCTGGGTGGGAATGGAGCACTCTGGGAGGCACCAGGCAGGCTGTAGGAAGGGGCATCAGGTCGGAGAGGGACCTAGGTGTCCAGAGCGCTAACCCCTGGCCAAAACAGCATGGGGGACCCAAACATACGGGCTCCTGGCCTCCCCCAGCTCCACTCCCTTCCCAGAACTGGGGAGAGAATCCAGGTGTCTGGAGCTCCCAACCTCTTATGCTCTACCCAACAGATCCCACTTCCTTTCCAGAGCTGGAGAGGACCCAGGCATCCGGGCTCCGGGCTCTATCCCGCAAGACCTCCCCACACCCCAAGTACTGGGATAGTACCAGGTGTCCCAGCTCCCAGCCTTCCCTGCTCTCACCCTCAGCCCCAATGCCCTCACAGAGAACCCAGGCATCAGGGCAGGCTCATACTCACAGCTTGAGGCCCCGGTAGCACAGGTGATAGGGACCAGAGGCATTGTGGGGCGCAGGGCCGGCCCAGGAGCAGTTCATGTCCCCACGGGGTCCCAGGCGGTGACAAGCCAGTGCCACGGGCTGCCCTGCAGCAGGACACATGTAAACCTCAGACTACAAGCAAGGGAGATGCTCCCAGTCCCGCCAGACCCCACTTCCTGTCCCAAACTGCCTGGCTCTCACCGCAGCACCCCACATCAGAGCTGGGGAAAGAACCCAGGCATCTGGTCTTGTAATTCCCTCTCCTGTGGTCTGTAGACCTCCCCCTTCCTCCCTACCAGGAGTTGGAGATATAACCCAGGTGTCCAGGCCCCTTGCTCTAAACCCCCCTCCCTCCATGAGCTGGAGAGAACCCAGGCATCTAGGCTCCCAGTCCCCTTGCTCTAACCCCACAGCCTGCACCCCCCTCCTGGAGAACCCAGGCATCCGGGCTCCCAGCCCCCGCTGCTCCAGCTTCCACTCCCCTCCCAGAGCTGGGAAGGAACCCAGGTGTCTGCTCCTGTCCCTGCTCTGAGCAGAGGGAAAACCCAGGAGTCCTGTTGACTCCCTGCACCCAACAACCCCCAGACACTTCCTGCCGCGCGGGGGGGGGGGCACTGCTGCACCCACATCCTCTTGCATGTGCTCAATGTGAGGGGGGAGGGGGACATGACAAGCTGGGGCTGCAGGAAGTGGGGCGGGCGGGGGCAGAGCAGGGTGCTGTGTGGTTGGGTGCAGCCATAAGGCAGAGCTGGGCATAGAACCCAGGCATCTGGGTTTCCAGACCACCCTGCTCTCATCCCCAGCCCTGACTCCCTCCCCTGAGCTGGAGAGAACCCAGGCATCTGGGGCCCAACCCCCATCCCTCATCCCAAAGCTGGAGAGAACCCAGGAGTCCGGGATCTAGCCTCCTCCCTGAGCTAGAGAGAACCCAGACATCTGGTCCTTACCATTCTCAATGCCCAGCACCTCCAGTGCCAGGAGCAGGACCCAGGCTCCGCTCCAGCACTCCATGGATCCGACGGGGCTCATCACCACCTGCCCCAGGGGCTCCTGCTGCTCCCAGCTCAGTTCCCCCTTGGCCTGGGCAGGGAGTTCCTGGGGGAAGAGGCTCCCTGGAGGGGTCTTAAGTTTTTTGGCGGGGTCTGGGACTCTGTGGGGTCTCAGGGCTCTGGGAGGGAATTGGGGTTCACAGGGGGTTTCAGGGCTATTGGGGGGGTCTCAGGGCTATTGGGGGGGGGGCTCAGGGCTCCCAGGGGGTGTCTGGGGCTCTCAGAGTTACGTAGGGGTCTCACAGCTCCTGTGGGGGTTTCAAGGCCCTGGGGGGGTCTCAGGGTTTCTGGGGGAGTCTCACAGTTCCTGGGTGAGGGGTGGTCTCAGAGCACAAGAGGGACTCTGGCGGCTTCAGAGTGAGGCAGATCTTGGTCCTGGACACCTGGGAGGAGAATCGGCCCCCATGATGGCACCCCCACTGGGGAAGAGGGGCAGTCAGGCACCTGTGTATTGGGCCTGACCCCGAGGAAAGGGTGTGTGGGGTGCCTGGCAGATAAATGTCTGCACCTGTCTGTGCCAGCTAGGAGCGGGCAGCAGCCGGGGCATGCCCCCTCCTCCCCCGCCCCGCCCCATGTCCCTCCGAGCTGGAAAGAACCCAGGCGTCTGGACTCCCAGCATGCCCCCCCTGCTCTCACCCCTAGCCGGTACTCTCCTCCCAAAGCTGGAGAAAATCCAGGTGTCCAGGCTCCCAGCACCCCTTGCTCCAACCCAACCCCGTACTACCTTCGCAGCGCTAGGAGGGAACCCAGGCGTCCTGCCCAGTCCCTCTCACTCCAGCACCAGCCCAGAGTTGTCTCACCTCCTCTTGCTCCCCCAAGTCCTTTCCACCCCCCAGGCCCCAGCCCCGTCTCACCCATGAAGGCCCAGGCCCTGACATGCTGCCCTGGGTAGGGGCTGGAAGGTGGGGAAGCACAGCCCCCGCAACCCTCCCCAGGAGCCGGGGCCCGGCAGCTGCTCGCGGCAGAGCAGGAAGCGCAGGGCTGTGGGGGCTGTACAGGATGTGCACACTGATGCATATACACCACCCTGCCCCACACCCCAGCTCTCCCCCTCCCCCCTGCCCAGTGCCTGGGGCTCAGGCTGCCTCCTCCCTGCTGGGAATGGGTGGCCCAATGCCTGGCAGCCTCGTGGGAGAAGTGAGTCACACATGACCCTCGCCCTGCTCCTGCGGGGCCCCGCGTTGCAGGGGTGGAGCCGACCCAGGCGTCTGGCTACTCCTCTTCACCCCAGGGTGGAAGCAGAACCCAGGAGTTGGGGCTTGCCAGCCACTTCTTGCTCTAACCACTAGGTATTTCCAAGAGCTAGTCAGAGAACCCTACTCCCTCCTCCTCCCCTCCCCTCCCCTAACCCACCAGCCTTCCTCAGCAGTGGGAAAGGAACCCAGGTGTCCGGACACCACACTACTTCAGTGCCCCTCCCCCCACAGCACCCCATGCCAGGGACAGGACACCTGGATTCTCTCCCCTGCTTGGGCAGGGACATGGAGACTAATGGCCACAAGGGGGCAGGAAGCAGATGTGCCCAGAGTCCAGCACTCTGGGGTTGCACAGGCAATGTGGGGTGGGGCGGGGCAGGGGCCAGGACTCCTGGGGTCCCTGAGGGAGGGGGAGGGGCTGGAGCTAGGGAGTCCTGGGTTCTATCCTGGCTATGGAGGGGTTAGTGGAGGTCACCCAACCAACCTGTGAATGGGCTGTGTCCTTATCAGCCCCACCAGGCTGCCTCCCCAGGGCAACACCCACTGTCCCCTGCCCCCGCTTCCTATGTAGGAGGCAGGAAAGGTCAAGGATGAGGCAACCCCCAGCCATGGAGGGGGGGCGGGGGCTGGGGCAATAACCAGCCATGGTCAGAGGGGTGCTTTTGCACAGAGAGGCAAGAAAGCCCAGACTGGGGCAATCCCCAGCCCCTACTGCACCAGCCTTGGCCAGCAGTGGGTGCTGTGGGGGTGGGGTATTCCGATATCACCCAGGTCCAAGTCCAGCTTCCAACATGCGCTTTGTCTGATGCTTTATTGGAGTCTGTTTACAGCACAGCTGCCCCAGTGAGGACCCCTCAGCTCCCCTGCTCTAGCAGAGGGAGCTGATCTCGCTCTTGCTACAGCCCCAGCGGCAGCAGGCAGCACTGAGCCCAGTGACAACATCGCGGGGACCCCGGGGTGGGGCCCAACTCTCATCCAGCCCCCCCCGGCCGCCCCGACCCTGCCACCGCTCCAGGAGCCTCCCAGGATCCCACTCGCTGGAGCCAGCTGCCTCCGACGACTCGTCCCCTCCCAGGAGGCTGTTCAGGGCATCGGGGTCCCCTAAGAAGAGAGTGGAGAGGGAAGCGCAAAGGGTTAATCCGGCCCGCAAAGGAGCTTCCTTCTGCCCTGCCAGCATGCTGCCCTGCTGCTGGAGCTGTGGGTCAGAATTGCCCTTGTGTTGTGAACAATATAGGGCTCAGGATGCATGAATGAGTCAATGGGGGGTGGGGGCAGGGAATCACCCTTGTGCTATGAGTGATATAGGATTTAAGACCCATGGAAGAGCTGGGCAGTGTGCTATGAACGATACAGGACTCAGGACCCATGGATGAGCTATGGGAGGGGGAAACACCTTTGTGTTGTAACCAATATAGGGCTTAGGACCCATGAATGAGCTGGGAGAGGGATCACCTCTGTGCTATGAGCCATACAAGGCCTAGGACCCATGGGTGAACAGCCCCAATGGCAGCCAGCAGCTGCACAGAGCCCCCTGCCTGGCTCCCAGTGCTCCCTCACCCCTGCTCTGGCCACCAGTTTCCTCTCCCAACACGCTTCCCAGAGCGGAGAGAACCCAAGAGTCCTGGCTCCCAGTCTCCATGACAACAAGTACATTCCATTCACTTTCCCCTGGTGAGTGGCACTGGGCACTGTCAGACCCAAGATGGTGCCATCCTGACCCACTGCCCCCTCCCTAGACCCCTGGGCCTGATTCCAGTTCTTCCTGGGGCCCCTGCCTCCCCCACACCTTGCACCCATTTCCCAGGCAGGAAGGCTGAGGATAGGAAAAGACAGTGACTCATTAAAAGTCACCCTGCAAGTCAAGAGCAGGGCAGGGAAATGAATCCAGGAGTGCTGGCTCCCAGCCTCCTGCCTTGCTCCAACCACTAGCCCCCACTGCTCTCTAGAGCTGGATATGGAACCCAGGAGTCTCATATCCCTGCATCCCTCTCCGTTCCTAGAGCTGGGGATGGAACCCAGGAAACTCGGCTCACTCCCCCCCGCCCGCTCCAGCAACAGAACCCAGGAGTCCGGGCCCCCACTCACCTGCCCGCCGCCAGCGGGAGCCACCACAGGTGAAGATGACGGCACGGATGAACTCACGGCCACAAAGCTTGACACCATAGGGGGGACCCCGGGCCTCAGCCTCCAGCTTGGGTGTCACGAGCAGAGTCCCAAGCACCAGCACTGCCAGCAACTTCTGCATGGCTGGATAGAGCGTGGAGCCCAGAGCTGCCTCCTGGCACGGCTGTGGGGCCTAAATAGGCTACACAGGGCCCCCCCCACCCCCCACCCCCACCCTGGGGAGATGGGTTGTGGGGGCCGGAGCCAGAGCCCGTTTGAGAGCTGGAGAGAGAGAGGCAGATAACCTTTGCATGCGAGGCATGAGTCACACCTGATCCCCCCCTGGCCTCTCTCAGCCCCCACCTGCTCCATCACTCCCCCCCGCCCCTGTCGGTGCCCACTGCCTCCTGGCTTCACACGGGGCCTTGGGGACTCGTGTACATGAGCTGGATCTCGGATGCACACGTGTGTGCATGCATGGGACTCCTGGCATGTAACTTCTTCTGCATGGCAGTGCTGGGTCCCCTGTACACATATGCATGTGCACTGTTCTTCACCGTGCCTCTGGTCCCCACCCCCACGCGCACACACATATTCATGCATGCGAGCTCACTTTCAGTTCATTTCTGGTCTTTCCCTCCCACATATATACACATGCACATGTGAGCTCTCCTTTACTGCATGTCTGGTCCCCTCACGCAAACATATGCACATGTACTCTCTTGGTCTCCAAGCCAACACACACACACACACACACACATACACGCATGCTCTTCTTCACCATAGTTCTGGTCCCCCCCACACACACACATGCTGTCCTTTACAGCACTTCTGTTCCCCCTCACACGTGTGCATCGTCCTTCACCACACTTCTGGTCCCCCCCCACACACATACACCCACATGTGTCCACTCTTCTTCACTGCACTTCTGGTCCCTCCTACACACACACACATACATATGCTCTTCTTCACCAGTTTCACTCTCTCTCCCCCAACATATGCACCCCACATGCTTTCCACACGTGTGTTCTCTCCACCATGCCAACACACCGACAGCCCCGGCCTACCCACTCCCATACAAACTTGCACACTGCTTGCCATGGGTGAACTGCCTCCCTTCACAGATACCTTGCCCACACACACACATGCTTCTGCCACATGTGTCACCCTAGGCACTTGTGTGCACATGTGTGCACGTGCACACACACACACACACAGAAAATCCCTGCACATAGTAACAAACATGCTCCCAATCTCTCCCAGTAAGGGGCCCTGGGCAGAAGCCCTGGCTTGGGGGGATCCCAGTTTCTCCCAGGAAGGGGCACTGGGCAGAAGCACTGGTTCCCAGTCTCTCCCAGTAAAAAGGGCACTGGGCAGAAGTGCTAGTTTGGGCACTGAGGTACCCCACCCTTGAGGATCCTCCACTCCCGACACACTGCTCTCACATCCTGCCGGAACCCACACCTGGCTGAACTTTCCTTATCTCATTCCACAACACTCTTGCCTTCCTCCCCGATAAGGCCTCGCAAAGGCCAGGCCATAGCTTGCTGCAGAGAGATAACCCCACTGGAGCGGGGGCAAACAGCCGATGAAACCCAAGCTTCCACCTTGGCCCAGAGATCAGTCTTCTGGAGAGGAGGGCGGTCCAGGTCCTTCCGTGAGGGGAATTATTCATGCCCATCATCATAAGAGCCTGGAGGCTGGGGCTGCTGCAGAGATTGGGTGTGTGTGTTTGGTTGGGGGGGAGGGGAGTAGCATCAGGTGTGGGCAAGCTCCCCACCCCCACTAGTGCTTCTCCCCAGTGCCCTTTGCTGGGAGAGACTGGGAACCAGCACTTCTGACCAGTGTCCCTCACTAGGATAGACTGTGGGTGACAGGTTTGGGGAAAGATGAGGGACAGGGCAGTGGGATGGGAGTATTTGGGGGCTGCTGGGACTCTGTAGGCTCTGCAGGGAACAGAGGCAGCTGCTAGTTCTTCAAACATTGCTGGCTTTAACTTCCTGGAGACAGACTGGACACATGAACATAGGAAGGACCAGAATGGGGCAGACCCATGGTCCATTTAGCCCAGTATCCTGTCTTCGACAGTGGCAGGGATGGATGCTATAGACAGAGAGCATTGAATTGGGGATCTCCAGAGTGATCCATCCTCTAGTCAATACCCTCCCATCATCTGCCATTTATTAGGATAGGGACACCAGAAGAAACATCTCCAACTGTTCTGTTCAACAGACGCTAATAAATCTATCAGCCATGAATGGGGCAGATGCAGGGTGGTGCAATCATCGAATTCTAGAGTCATGGGGCTGAAAAGGACCTCCAGGGATTGCATCCAGTCAAACCCCCTGCCTGAGGGAGGATCAGCCCTGTCCAAACCATCCTAGACAAATCCATTGTTTAACCTCTGAGCAAACCTACCACCAACCCTCACACAACATCAGGCATTGCACCTCCACAGGGAAAGCCAAGGAATCATGGTGGCCAACGTCCTGCTTCGGCAAAGGCTGTTAATACACATTCAAGAGACCCCAGGCAGAGACTGTGCCCCACTACAGAGGAAGGCACCCCCCCGCACCAGCCTGTACCAATCTACCCAGGGTGGGAAATTCCTTCCTGACCCCAATGTGGCATTGGTCTGAGCCTGAATGGAGGGGCAAGACCCTCTAGCCAGGAGTCTCTGGGTTGAGTCCCAGCAGGAGCACTGGCACAGCCCAGTCACCTTCTCCAGCCTGGGCTGCAGCCAACACTCAATGCCTCCAAGGGAAGCTTAAAAATACCCTGACATCAGTAGCAGGAAGCAGGGGGGCAGGAAGGTAGAATTCCCTCCCAGCCAGCCCCACACGACAAATCAACAAAGCCCAGAATTATTATTTTTTTAATTAAAATATATTAGGTATATGTATATACACACATCCTCTGTCATAGACTTCCACTGCACCTTTTCTTTTCCAAACCACCTTAATAAGCCCATGCACCTGGTACAATAACCACACCTGTTCCCCTGCGCCCCCCGCACACCTACCCTCTGCCCTTCCCTAACCCAAACACAGTCTCTTAGTCCCAGCCCTGATTTGGGATTTCCCTTCTCAGTTCATTCATAGTCCTTGTTGCTGTTGATGTCACTGTCACTTCCACTGCTGCTGATCCTGTTGTCCTCCTCGCTATCTTCAGGTCCAGTTGTGTCATTGTCCTCTTCATTCTCCCTGTCCTCTTCCCTTCTCGGGGGGGCTTTGAACAGCCTGTGCCACATGTCCCTTTTCCAGACAGAGTTGGCTGTGTCCTCTCCCACCATTTTCCAGTAGTAGGGCTGGAGTTCACTCAGAAACATTTTACCATAGTCTGTTTGCTCAGGCTTAATGTGACTGTACATCAGGAGGTTCCTGCATTGCCACAGGGCACTCCTGATGCAGGACTCAAACAGGTCGAAGCAGGTTATCTGGGACCCCTGATGTTTAGTTAGGTATCCATATAGCACCACATCCCTTGTCATCAGCATGACTCCTGTCACTTCCTCCAGGAGCCGGTTTACCTTTTTCCACAGAGCCAAAAAAGGTGGTCCATGGTCTCATTCACACCTTGGCAGCTTTCCCTGGGACAGCTGGGTCTAAACTCTTGTCTCACTCTGTGCCTCCATGCCTTCATTGGGAGTACACTGTGAGCTATGAGCCAGTCCAACAAAGCCCAGAAGCCTGGAAAACCGCCATAGTAAAACACTGGCATGGCTAGGCCTAGATCATCCCTGACCAGTGGCTGTCCAGACTCTCCTAAACCCTCTAGTAATGGAGAGAGTACAGCTTCCCTGGGAATCTACTCCACAGACCTCCTGCTCTAGCCACGAAGAAGCTTTTCCTAAGATCCACCCTAAGCCTACTTTGCTGCAACTTCAAGCTATTGATCCACATCCTCTTCTCTACAGCCCCCCAATCTTTGATTCCTGCTCCCCACAAAGTTTAAAACCAACTGCCTGGCTGTGACAGCAGTAACATTCCTATTGAGACAGCAACGGGGGAATCCATTGACTTCAGGGCTCTTATTGTCTCCCCAGTTCCTGCTACACTCATCACTCCACAGGTGTTAATGACCCTCTCTCCTTTTTTTTAATGGTCTTCATGTTCCCCTAATGAAGACCCTTTCTTCTGAAGTTCTGCTCTCTGTTCATGGCTCCTGGTCATACACAGCTCCTATATCACAACCTCGAAGACTGTTTTTGTCACTTCTGATTGAGCTGTTATGACTTGGAGACCTTGAAGTCATAGACAGTTCTCTAAAAACCATCAACACGATATGCAGCATCAACCAAAAGAGCCAATAAAATATTGGAGAGATGGAGTTTTACATGAGCTTTTGTTCCCTCTGCTATTTAACTCTACCCCAGAGGCCTGAGGAAGGGGACTGTGATCTCTGACCACTGGCTAATATCCACCTCACCCACGCAGTTGGGCCAATAAGAGAGATCAACTCCCCCCCAACCATAAAATGTCAGGCATTGCTAAAAAGAGAACTGAAAACAGAGAACATCATTGTGGCATCGTACAAATTCATGGGGCACCCACAACTCAAATCCCTGAGGGCAGCTTGGATCCCCACATCTCAGGGTAGGAGGTCAGAGAATTAGACAAAGTTGAGAGAAAGGCAACCACAATGATCAGGGGGCTGGAGCCATTGCCAAGCCAGGAGAGACTAAAAGGCTGAGTTTTTAGTTAGGAAAGGAGAAGGCCAATGATGGGGAAGTTGATAGAGGTCTATAAAGTCATGAAGGGCGTGGACCAAGTGAACAGGGAGCTGGTATTCACCAAGTCCCAAGAAACTAGAATTAAGGTACACCACTGACGTGAGCAGGAGACTGGTTTAAAACTAAGAGCAAGGGCTTCTTTTTTTCCTCTCCATGCAGCACATTGTTAACCTGAGAGACTTGTTAGCAGGTTCATAGGATCAAAGGAAAGTCAGGCTGGAATAGCAGATGGATCACTAGATACACCCGGTCCATTACTCTGTCACTCTAGTGTGCACAGGACCCTCCAAGGAAGGAGCTGAGGTTTGGAAGCCAGGTGGAAAGGAAGCAGAGTGTCACTGGCCAACTCAGAGCTGCATGGAACTGGGCCAGGGATCCTGACCTTTCCTGTGCTGTGAACTCTTGACAGCTCAGAAACCTT